ATCCAAAAAGATCCGCGCGGAACGCCCAAATTTCAGTTTATGCCGTGTTTTCTACTTCGATCCTACTTCGCGGCTCGCACATAGAGTGGGTATGGGGGAGGGGGAAAGGCTTCTTGGAAGCAGGCTGCTTCTTAGAAGGCGGCAGCCTGACATCAACAGACACGGCCCGCGCCTTCTAAGAAGCAGGTATGATTCTAAGCATCCTTCCTCCCTCCCCCTGACCCCCTCTGCGCGTGGCTGGCCTACCGCCCCCCCTCCCCAGCGACCTTCTCCAGCCTGAGGGCGCCAGGAAGATGCCCCCAGCCGCCAGGCCTCCACGTCGCCGGCGCCAGGGGCAGGGCCTTCAGGAGCCCCGGTCTCGGCACCCTGGCGCTTCGCCACGGGCCGCGGCTCTTGGAGCGCAAGTTTCTCAGTCGCGGCCACAGCGGGCGTTCTGGGCGGGGGGGAAGAGGGAGGGGGGACGGGAGGGGGCATCACGCAGCGCCCCCCAAGAATGTGGTGCCGGACTTGTGAGGAGGGGAGGGGGGGGGACGGGAGGAGGCATCACGTAGCGCCTACGCCCCCCCCCAGACTGTGGTGCCGGACTCATGAGGGGGGGGGAGGGGGGGGGGGACGGGAGGGGGCATCACGTAGCGCCCCCCCCCCCCCCCCCGCGCCCCCCAGACTGGCGCCGGACGCACGCACTGCGGCAGTGCCGGGGACGCACTGAGGGGGGGGCGTTACGTTCCCAGAGATCCGATGTCGTGAGTTTGTCTATACGGGGCCCCTAGAAGTCTCGACACATTCCCCAGCGCCGGTTGTCCATCCAGAGTCGTTTTTTGACGGACCCAAGGCCCGGCGAGGTCCCCCAGGGGCCGAAGACTGGGAAAAAAACGCAGTTTTTTTTTGTTTTTCCAATGCGTTGGATCTTGGGTCAAGGAAAGGGGGGGGAAGGTAGGGGGCGTCACGCGCGTTATAGCCCAGAGGGTAACAAAAACACTCTACAGCTCGGGGGCCCGCGGAAGGCCGCGCGACCGACGGAGAGGACGGAGATTGAGCAGGGACCGACCGTCCCAGCATTCCTAGGCATACCACAACATGCTCCTAGAACCCGAAATTGCTCCAAAAACAAAACCAATGTTCTGAGAACATAAACCCGATGCGTTAAAACAAAACAGCCCCAGCCCAGCCATACGTGTTCTGAGAGCACCTCGTGCAACGCACAGAAGGTTCTTAGAACATTGTGTGCTGGACCTCTGGGCGAGACAGGACGCTTCGCCACTGCTTCAGGAGACGCTCGGTGGCCTCGCCTCCCGCTCAGGGCACCCCGTCGGCCCTCCCCCAGCTCCCTCTGGGCCCTGGGTCTCTCCTGGCCCAGAGAGGCCCCTCTCTCGGCGCGCGCAGAGGTGGGCCGCCCGGCCCAGTGGGGGGGGGCACGACCTTCTCCTCCTCCTCCTCCTGCTCCTCCTCCTCCTCCTCCTCCTCCTCCTCCTCCTCCTCCTCCTGTTCCTCCTCTTCCTCCTCCTCTCCTCCTCCTGGTCGCTCGCTCCACTCCTCCTCCTCCTCCTCCTCCTCCTCCACCTCTCCTGCTCCTCCTCCTCCTCCTCCTCCTCCTCCTCCTCCTCCTCCTCCTCCTCCTCCGCGTGCTCCTAGCATGATCCAGGGCAACGTCAGGCGCGCCCAGATCAGTGGATACGGAATGTGTTCGGTCGCGATCGGTAGCGACCCATCGGCAATTCAAAGCGGTCGCGACCGATCGCGACCGATCCCCCAAAACGGTCGCGACCAGTCGCCACCGAGCGCAACCGCTGGGTCGCGACCGATCGGTCGCGAGCTATTTTGACGCAAATCGGTCGCGACCGATACCGAAATTCGAAGCAACATCGGTGGCGACCGATCTCGTCGGTCACGAATGGAACATTCCAGTATCTAATGAGCAGGGTTTGGGCCACGCTGGACCAGCTTGGGCATCGCTTACCATTGAGCCTAAGACAGGAGAACACACCAAAAGAAGAACACGAGACCCCCCGATGGCCAGGACGCACAGAACATCCAAGGGTACCCTCCACAGGGTGCACAAGAGCAGCCAACAAACACGAAGAACATTGGGGTACCCTCTCCGAACCGACCTCGACCTTGTACCCCGGTCCGACTGCAATGGGGGCCGATAGTCGGGGGGGAAGAAAAGTTCACTTCTCGGGCCCTGAAATCCCTTGGTGCCCTGAAGGGCTCTACGGGGGCCCAACAGGGCTCCTTTTCTGCAGCCCTCGCTGCCCCCCCCAGTCATCGCCCCCCCATTGCGCGACGCCCAAGACCCGCTTGGGCACCGTGGCGACCGGGCGGCGGGGGCACTTTCTCTCCCCCCCGTGCAGCCCAATGCCCGCCAGCCGCTCTGGAGCAGCTCCACCTGCGGGCAGCTGGAGGAGGGAGGAGGGAGGAGGGAGGAGGGCCGAGGACCGAGAATCGAGGATCAAGCCGAGAGGGTCTCGATGTTCTTCGCCCATGGTGGCTCTCCGGAGGCGTTCCCGTCGCCGCGGCTAGATCCGCCTCGAAATTCCTCTCCTGGGTTGCGTTCTGACTCCAGTCTCTCAAGGCGAGTCCAGCGGTAGCGACGAGGGCCTCCCCAGGGGGCCAGAAAAGGGAGAAAACGGGGGAAGGGTAGCGGTATGGGTACCTGTTCCTCCTCAGAGCTTCCTCCTCCTCTTCCTCCTCCTCCTCCTTCTCGTCTAGGGGAGGCTAATCTTGACCGCGTCCCCCCACCCCCCAGGAACGCAGTCCAGCTCGTTGGTGGCCGAGGCCTCCCAGGTGTGAGTGGCCGTGGCCGCCAGGAACAACAAAGGCGGAGGCGGAGGAGCCAAGACGAGCTGGGCTATGGCAGGCAGGCCGACCAATCGCACGGAGTACAGTGGAGGCCAGTCCATAAGAAGCCTTCCACAAGAAGCCCAACCCTGAGACCCTCGGACGTCCATTTATTCCTGGTGTGGGAAGGTCACGCGTTCCGTATCAAAACTACCGGGACCCAAGAAGCCCAGAGCACCCTGGAGGCACGCAGGGTGTTTCTTGGCATGGGTCTCCACTGTATTAGACCTAGCCCTCAAGAGAACAAGAGAGAGAAGGTGGAGCCGAGCACCAGAGAACGGGCAGGGAGGAGCCAGACGGAGGAAGAGGAGGGGGAGACGTGGGAGCAGAAAAGCCTGCTTGTCCTCCTCCTCATTATCCGTCTCTTCTTTCTCCGCCTGCTCCAGCCTGTCGGCCACGGGCCCATGGACAAACGGAGGGCATCCTCATCCTCATCGCGCCCTCATCCGCCGCCCGTCTGCCCACCCTCACGGTGCCATGTGTTCTGAACCCTGCGTCTTCAAGGCAGAGCCTACTAGGGCGGCATGGTATGTTCCTGCTTACTTGGCCTCGTATTCCTCACTGCCTCCTTGCCATCCGCCAGATCCTACTGCTCGTGTGAGTCGAAGGGGGGGGGAAACACGAGCAGTAACATCACTCGTCATTTTCCCCCCCATCTTTGAATCTGTGTCCTACTCGAGCAGGAGATGGAGCCCTCTCCTACTCGAGTATGAGAGGGAGTCCCTCTCCTGCGCAAATTCAGGGGAAACCAACAGGTACCGACACCGTTACTCCCCAGTCCTCTCCTGGGGTGTGTTCTGCCCAGAAGTTCGAGGCAAATTCTGCGGTGGCGACGCGGGCCTCCCTGGAAGCGCAGAAAGCAGAACAAAGGAGAGGGGCAGCGGTATGGTTACCTCTTCCTCAGCAGCATCAGCATCATCATCATCAGCATCATCATCATCAGCATCATCATCAGTATAATCAGCATCATCATCATCATCAGCATCATCAGCATCATCAGCTGCATCAGCATCGGCATCATCATCAGCACCATGAGCATCGTCATACTCATCATCGTCATTATCACCAGCATCAGCATCGTCATCAACATCAGCATCATCAACAGCATTATCACCAGCATCATCAGCATCATCAACATCAGCATCAGCATCAGCACCTTCACCATCACAAGCATCATCCATCATCATCAGCATCAGCATCAGCATCACCATCACCATCATCATCATGATCATCATCATCATCATCATCATGATCATCATCATCATCACCATCATCATCAAGATACGCTGTTTCGTTAGGCGGAGAACCGAGTTCTGATAACGACGGCTCGCTGCGATCAGCGAGCTGCTCCTCCAGAGCTCTGGGACGAGGGGCCGAAAAGGCCCCGTTCTGAGGCAAACGAAGACAGTCAGACGAAAACCTCCCCGCTACGCGGGAGCCCCCTCGAGGGTTGGGCGGGCTGGGAGAACCGAGAAGGGCTGCGGTCGCAATGCTCCCTGCTAATCGTTGGCAGACGACACCCCGCTCCCCGCTTAATCAGATCCGCGCACGCACCCCCATGATACGCTGTTTCGTTTGGCGGAGAACCGAGTTCTGATAACGACGGCTCGCTGCGATCAGCGAGCTGCTCCTCCAGAGCTCTGGGACGAGGGGCCGAAAAAAGGCCCCGCTCTGAGGGAAACGAAGACAGTCAGACAAACCCTCCCCCGCGACGCGGGAGCCCCCTGCCCCCTACACAGGGTTAGCATTATAGATGGAGGCTCTCGCGAGGGACTGGAGGGAGTGAGTGAGCGCTTGGTAAAAAAACGCTGGGCGATTCAGCGAGCAACTAGTATGGTTCACACCGAATTTACCTCTGCCCCGCAGGCGGATATGAGGGACGCCAGTCCTATCACAAATACCTGTGCAGCTGAATGTCTTCTGGCTCCGTGCCGACGTGCATGTATATACGACGGTGTCTCCAAGGGGCTCCGAGCATGCATCTATCACTGACAACTGTCGTCCTGGAACTTTCTGGCACCTCGGGTTGGCTAACGAGATATGGCCAGAGCCGGCTACCCTGGGGTAATTCCAGGAGGAGCGGCACGCGAGCTCGCCACGCTGTGGCGATGAGCCGCTTCAATCTCTCTGCAAACCTCCGCAGTCGGCGGTGGCCTGCTAGCCTACCCGTAGCTTTGCTCGCCGACGGTCGCGCGGGCGACAGGAAAAGCAGAGCTACCTCACCACGCCGCAGGTGCGCCTGAAGGCGGCGCTCCAGGGGCGCGCCCAGCCGCTCGTCACTGAGGGTGTCGCCTCGCCACATCCAGGCAGGCACTCTGCCCTCAGCGAGGCCCGACCCGATCGTGGTCAGCCCGTCCCCGATCAGGAGCGCTTTGCACCGCTCGGCGAGGGCTGGATGCCTCCTGGCGGAGGCCCCTCTCGCCCCTGCACCAAGGCGCGCTCCTGCTCGCCCAAGCACTGGTCGCCGTGCGCCTCCAGCATCGGCCCGTGCATCTGCGCGAGCTGCCCGAGGCGCACGCTCTCCTCGTAGCGCGCCATGTTCTTCAACGGGCGCCAGCCTCTCCGTCGTGGCACCTCCGCCTGTGCCCTCTCGCCGCTGGCACGGTCGATGCTCGCCCCCGAGGGCCGCGCCTGGTGAGGCGTGACGGGCCACGGCTGTATCATGTGGCAGGCCGCCTTCATCTTGCGCAGCAGCTCGGGGTAGTCGAAGTCCTGCCCAGGCTTGTGAGGATCGAGCATCGGCATCTCGCTGAGGGCTGGCCCGATCAACCGTAGCCACGAGGAGCCCAGCCTCCCGCTCAGGTCGAACTCCCCCACTTTGTCGGGCGTTGCTCGCTCCAAGGGGCGCACCAGGAATCCCCAGTGCTGACTGCGACCTCCTGGTCTCACTATGTCGACAGGGCGTAGTGTGTCCGCTCCCAGGCGTCCAAACTTTGGGTAGAAATGGCTCACAGTCACTACGACATACCTCCTCGTCGAAGCTTGCTCGCCCAGCAGGAATAGCGAGGTGAAGAAGTATACCAGGCGGGCGTCCATCGCCTCCGCTGGCATCTCCGAAAAGGCCTGGCGGCCCCACCTCTGCTTCAGCTGATCGAGCACTCTCTCGCACTAGGCCCTCGCTCGCGGCGTCGCCGTGCTCGACACCAAATATCGGTCGAGCGGCACTCCGTCCTCGATCGCCCATGCTCCCGCAAGGCGCCGCCTCTTCACACGCCTCACTAGTGTCCCCTGCCGCGTGGGCTCGACGGCGGCCTCGGACTCGCTGGCAGCGCCGCTCGAGCTCTCCCCAGCCGGCCAAGCCCGCTTTCCAGTGGCGCGCCTTCGGATGGCGGCAGGTTGCGCCTCCGCCGACGCCTCCAGGCACTGCGCTCGCGGGCCCTCCGCTGGCACAAGCGGCCCTCGGCCTTCCAGTGAGGCTCCGCTCGCGCCTCGATCTCTCTCCTGCGTGAGCACCCTCAGTCGCCGCGCCGACGATGGCTCTGCTGCTGGGGATGGGCCCGTCGCAATCGGCCGAGCCCACGGCAGTGTCCGAGGCGTCGACAACGGCCTGAGCCAAGACGGCTACGGAGTGAGACGGAGACGCAGGGGCCCCTCCGGAACCAGAGGAGCATGGAGCCCCGAGGACGAGAGAGGAGGGGTGACGGTGATGCACGCTTGTTTCTAGAGCTCTTACAGGGTGCATTGAAACCGGGCTACTCGCTTGCTCGCATTCAGCAGTGCTGCAATTAGAACTGGCTGACTTTAGAACTGACTCGGGTTCAACGCGCCGACAGCTTAAGGGGGGCGAACGGCGTGCACGGACACGGGGGGGTCGTCGCCAACTATACTATTCGACTCATCCTCGCCCCTGAGACTCGACTCAGGAGGAAGAGAAAAGGCAGGCAGAGAGACAGGAATCAGACGCGTTAGAATATTGGACGGTTCGCCACCGTCAGCCCGCGAGCCTTCGTCACTATGGTTGAGCTCGCTTGGGACCCAGCGGACGATTGCCCTGAGGTCTCGACTTAAAAGATAAGCAGCGAATCTACGAATATGTCGCAATCTCGCGAAGCTACGACACCTACATCTATCAAACGCTAGTACTACACCAAGGCTATCAACTAACAAGATCTGCCTGGCACTGAGGCCGAAACGAGTGAGTGCAATATGCCTCAGAGATTTCACGAGGGCCCTGGACTCTAGAATGCCAATGTGCTCACAGTACCTCCATGTCCCCTGGCCAGCGTTACGCCAAAGCTGATGAGACAGGAGAGAGCTGGGCACCTCACGGAACTGGGGGTCCATCTCGTAGTCCCCCCCTGGGCAGCGTGGATTCGGTCAAGGCCTTCTCGCCCTCGTCAACACAGAGAGCGACGTCCTCTCCCCTGGCAGTCAAAAACTCCCCAATATCCGCGGCAGAGAAGGCGGAGCGACGAGCGTCGACCCCCCCCCCCCCCCTCGGTGCGGAAACGACACCTCTCCCGCCAGCGTCCCGCGGAGTTGAGAGCCTGGAGGTCCCAGAAGCTTCCCGCAATGCCAAACCCATTCTCCGAAGCATCCGAACACTGCACCCAGCGATTATATGGCAACCACCAATCTGAGACTATCAAGGGAAGCAGGCCCCGAAACGCCTTCAACTCTTCTCGGCAACTATTCCAAAGGGATGCTGGATCTTTGCTCATTTTAGCCACGAGCCTGTAACAAGAGTGAAAGACGCAGAGCACGGGGCGGCGCACCAGGCCCAGGCACGTGCAATGCCCCAGCAGGACCCGCAGATCATCACCACGGACCGCACGAAGTTGGAGCAGCCCTGTGTTCGCCTGGCGCACCCTCCAGAGCCTCTTCGCCGTCGGGCGCGTCTGCAGCCTCTGGCCGTCCAGCACGACGCCCAGCACCTCGATGCCGTCACTCCGAACCTCACGCCCGTGGACGTGTAGACCCACTGCCTCGAAAGCCTGCGCCCGCTCGTCGAGGCTGCGGCTCACGCGCTCCCCGTTCTGCCCGATCGCGCCCGCGTTGTCGACGTGCGCGTAGTGCTCGATCTGCGCCGTGCCCGCCGCCAACCTGAGCACCAATGGCTCCCCCGCATCACTGAGGGGCGTGCCGTCGCGCAGGCCCGGCGCGAACTGACAGCGGAGCTCCGTCGCGCTCTGGCACAGGCGCAGGCCCCACGCACATCCCATCGGGGGAGCCTCAGGAACAGGGAAGATGACGACGTCGTAGCCGAGCACCTTCCCTTCCAGCATCGCCCCGTGGAGCCTGACGCCCCCCGCCTTCAGGGCGGGCAGGCCGAACAGGCGCTTCATCCTGGGCGGCAGTCGCACGCGGCGGAAGGCGTCCTTCACGTCCGCCACCCCCACCGAGAACTCCACGTCCTCGAGCGCCGCCTGGAAGGCCGCCTGCAGATGGTCCTCGGCGTCCCGGTCCTCCTCAAGTTCGAAGGCCGAGAGACCCTCCACTGTCAGCAACTGCACCGACGGGGGATCTATCAATCAAGCGTTGCCCCTGCGACAACCCAGAATCATGCAAGTCTGTTCCCCCCCCCCCCCCCCTTTTTCCAAACGAAAAAGATGCCCACCGTCTCCGAGACCTGACGTGCAAATGACACCAGTCCACGTTTCGCGAGATCCCTCGCAAAATCACCGTACCGCCGCCGGCTCCGTACCGGCGATGGCTCGCTGAAGGGCGCTCGCGGACAACGCTCCAGTGCCTCGAGCACGTTCTCGTGGCCCCGCAGCATGCGCTCGCCCTGCCCCTCCACGTACTGGCGCGCTCGCCCCCGAAGCAGTTCACGAAGCGCGGGCGCCTCGGCGATGCTCTCGGGAAGCGACGGCAGCCCAGGTCGGTAAGGGGCGAGCACGTCCTCGGGAGGGCCACCAAGGTAAGGCGACCTCCCTCGCATCAGCTCCCGCAGGGCTGAATGCGGAGGCTGCAGCCCCACGCCTCGCATCGGCTGCGCGATATCGTTCACCTGCCCATCGATGCGCTGCATGACGTCGAGCTGCGCGGCCGCCAGGGGCGTCGTGGAGGACCCCGCGGATCCCCCTGCCAGCCAATTGAGGCTGTCCACCACCTCATTCACCAACACATCATGAAATCGCCGCTGACGCAGTCGACACCGACCTCGCCCTGGCGCCGTATGGCCCACGAGCTCCTCCCTCCCAGGCAGCGGGAAGATGTCGCGAACGCCCTCCCCAGGCCACGGCCCAGGCGGTCCTGCACACTCGAGGCCGCTGGCTGGACCACGTCCAGCGGCCGCTCCTAGCGTCGTCATTTGTCAGCCCCTGGCGCGGACACGTCGGGGGCCTTCTTCGGCCCTTTCGGCCCCTTCTTGTCGCCCTTGCCGTCACCTTTCTCTGACTTGGGCCGCTCGGCCGCCGTGAGGCCTCGCACCCGAGCGTTCAAGAACTCGGCGTCCTCCTTGGCCCGCTTGGCACCGAAGCTGCGCAGCTCAGGCGCCACCACGTTCCCAGGGCCCGTCTCGCCTGTGAGGTAGCGGGCCATCCGCCAGTTGGCTGGAGCTCCAGGCACAGAGTGGGCGTCGGTGATCACCTGAATTCGCCTCGCGAGCCTCTCCAGAGACCGCAGGCCGCCCAAGTTCACCTGGTCGTAGGTCCCCGCTAGCAGCAAGGCGTGGCGAGAACCTCCAACTCGTGGTAGATCCGACCCGTGCGCTCGATGCGGTGCTCTCGACTCCACTCGGCCAGCCATCGCATCGGGTCGCCCCCGCTCTTGTACATGGCCTTCGCCAGGTGGGCGATCGACACGGGCCCCTCGATCGGGTCGTCGAGGAAACTCTCGGCCGTGATCTCGCTCACCACACTGCGCCAATCCTTGAACCTTTCCCCGTGCCCGTCGAAGTCCACGCTGAGAGTTCTCACGTCGTCTACGCTACTGGTCGCTCTACGCTCCTCTCCACTGCCAGCCTCGCCCACGGTCTCGCCAGTGCTCAGCCCGAGCTGGTCCTTCACTCCCTTCTCCACCGATCTGTCGACCTGAGGCTCCAATGCGTCTAGGGCTCGGCGCAGGCGAGAGATCTGCTCGATGGCCAAGGCGGGTGCGCTACCGACGCCCACTCGACGCACTCGAGACACCTCCGAGCCCATGAACTTCAGCCCGTCAATGCCAGTAATCACGTCCGTCGGCGTCATGTGCACTACCTCCCCTATGGCCCGTCCGCCGCCGGGCTCCATCAGCACCCAAATTGTGTCAGAAGGGAGTGAGGCGTCCACCAGAGGAGCCAGATCGGCTCGAGCTGCGCGCAGAACAGCCGACAGCTCCGTTCGATGACCGTCGTCCCCGATAACGTACTTGGGCCATTGCTCCAGCTTCTGCCCCCTCGCCGTCTCGACGTCGCGGCATCCTTTGCTTAAGGTCATGATCTGCTCGTAACTCGGCCTCCCCCTGAACTTGTACAGCCGCCGAGCGCCAAGTAGTGGGTAGCCTACGTTCGGCATCGGCCGAGCCCCGCTGGGGCCCGTGAGAGGATCTCCTCCGTCGAGCCGTTCCTTCCACACGTCTGCGTCGGGCGAAAGAACCCACCACACTTCGTCGTCCTCTATGCCCGGCCCGCCATCGCGCACACGTCGAGCTGGCCACAGCAGATATCTCTCGTGGTCCACATCATCATCTGAGTAGCTCACGCGGGCCCGCGAGCCCACAGCCGCCTCACGCCAGAACTCCTGCTCCCCTGCGGCGAGGCGCGACGGCACGTGAGCTCTCGCCATCTGACGTCGCCGTCGCTGCCCTCACTCCTCGCCGCCCCTGCCACACGTGCCACGCCGCCCTGCCAAGCACCTGCCCCGCCCACCACAGCAGCGGGCCGCGCCCCCAGCCTGCCGGGGGCTCGGGCGCGGGCGCGGGGCACTCCTGCGCCGCAGGCTCCCAGGCGGGGCACTCGGCCGCCGCCCAGGGGGGCGCCCCAGCCGGCCCCGCGGCCGCTGGCGCGGCAGGCGGTGGCGGCGGGGGCGGCGGAGGCGGCGGGCTCGCGCTCGCCGTCCAGTTGCGAGCCGCCGCCAGCTCGCGCTCCCGCACGGCCTGCGAGAGCTGCTCTTGCACGAGCTCGCCGAGCTGCAACCAGAGAACCAGCCACAAAGGAAGGTTCGGAGGCGCCTGCCACTGCATGCCCCGAGAACCGAGAGAAGGGCTGCGGTCGCAATGCTCCCTGCTAGTCGATGGCAGACGACACCCCACTCCCCGCTTCATCATATCCGTGCACGCACCCTCATCATCATCATCATCATCATCATCATCATCATCATCATCATCATCATCACCATCATCATCATCATCATCACCACCACCACCATCATCATCATCATCATCATCATCATCATCATCATAATCATCATCATCACCATCATCAGCATCAGCATCAGCATCAGCATCATCATCATCATCATCACCACCATCATCATCATCATCATGATCACCATCATCACCATCATCATCATCCTCATCCTCATCATCATCATCATCATCATCATCATCATCATCATCATCATCATCATCATCATCATCATCATCGTGATCACCATGGTATGCCGCCTTGTCTTTCGCAATTGTCGCATCGCGCTCCTGCGCCTGATCCCCGTCGCGCTCCGCCTCTCCCCCCGCCTCCCGCCCATCGTCCTCCTGCTGTCTGCCCTCACCGACATTTACCGGTCCGAGCTTGAGGCTGTGCCACCTTTGCCAGCTGAGCTTGGCGGATCGCCTGGACCCGCGACCACTTCGAATCGGCATCCCAGTCCTGCAGTGAGGACGAGGGGCTGCAAGACGAGGAGGCGAAAAGGAGAGGAGAGAGCTCAATGAGGTTTTGCGACGTTTCTTTACGTAGACAAGAGGCCAATCGGTAGACATCGGAGGTCCGCGCGGATTCCTCGGAACGGCGCTGCCCCCTGGCGGTGCCTCCCCTGGCGCCAGGGGGGGGATGCAGCGCCTATTCGAGAAATCCATGCGGACCTCCGAAAGCTTATACTTCCACAATCAGAGCTAGCCTCTGTAGGGGCCCTAGCGGATTCATATGGCTACGGGAGGTTTGTCACCGATTTCCGCGGCCCGCCCGGGTGCCCGGGTGTCCGGGTGCCTTATAGCCCTATAGCCCTACAGCCCTACAGCCCTATAGTCCTATAGCCCCATAACCAATAGCCCTATAGCCCTGTAACCTAATAGCTCTATAGCTCCATATCCCTATAGCCTTACAGAATTACAGCCCTATAGCCCTACAGCCCTACAGCCCTACAGCCCTGTAGCCCTATAGCACTATGACTGTAGAGCCCTATAGCCCTATAGCCTTATAGCCCCATAGCTCTATAGCCCCCTAGCCCTATAGCCCAATAGCCATATAGCCCTATAGCCCTATAGCCTATAGCCCTATCGCCCAATAGCCCTATAGCCCTATAGCCCAATAACCCTATAGCTTTATACCCCCATAGCCCTATAGCCCTATAGTTATATAGCCCTATAGCTTTATATGCCCGTTGCCCAATCGACCTATACCTATATAGCCCTATAACGCCATAGCCCTATGGTCATATAGCCTTATAGCGCCATAGCCCTATAGACCTATAGCCACATGGCCCTATAGCCCTATAACCCTATGTATATATATATATATATATATATATACACCCCTGCGGCCCTATAGCCCTATCGCCCATAACAGCCCCATAGCCCTATAGCCCAATAGCCTCATAGCCCTAAAGAAACTCTGATTGGGGCTTGTCTCCGCTATCAGTATGTCATTGCTCGTTCCCCAGAAAAGTTCAAGGAGGCGCAGGGAGGAGTATAACTAATGAAGTCAGAAGGCTGGCCCAGCAGATGCAACGCAGCATGGTGGACGTTTGGGGGGAGCCGAGCTGGTCGTACGATTGGATTGCAGGTGGGAGGCGAGGGGAACGACATGATAGTGCAGGTCGAGCTACCTCATGAGGGTAGCCCTTGAAGGCCTGGGGCACCAGGATGCCTGAAATTGCTCGTGAGGGGGCGGGGAGCTGGGGGTCGTCAGAAGCCCGCGAGGCTCGGAAGCAAATATGAAGAAACCCGCCGCAGGCGCCAAACTTTTTTCCACGTTACATAACAAGCCCACCGCAAGCGCCAATGAATCGTCAACGTAATGCTGGTGGGTCTAGGGTTGGTCGCGGGCGGGTCACGGGTGGGTCGCGGGTGGGTCGCTGGTAGGTCGCGGGTGGGTGACGGGTGGGTCGCGGGGCCGGGCGCGGGGCGAGCCGCGGGGCGGGATGCGGGCGACGACGACAACAAGAACGGCCAGAACGACAATCCGCAATGGAGGGATGAATGTACGACCACCACTGGGGACAAGCGTCTGACCCTAGCTGAAACCAAGCAGATGAGGCCGTGGCATCTGGATTACGGTACCTGCTGTGTCGCCCGGGACGTTACGAGAAAGGGGAGGAGGAGAGACGGACCATGTCCAGGATGGAAGAGGAAGGGGATGGACGAAGGACAACGGAGGTGCATAGTCCTTGTAAGCGCGGGCGAGCCAATCGAACCAAGGCAGCCTGCCAAACATCCCGTGCAACAGCACCCAGCCGAGTGCCTCGACGTCGTCGATCGGTCTGGGCTCGCCACCTGTGCTCTCTTTGCTGCAGGCACCGGCAAGAACGATGTTCTTCTAACTGCGTGGAATATGCCAACCCGTCGTGTGGAGGCGGCCAGGGGGTCTGAACTGGTTGGGGCCTCAGGAGGGGGGGGTGGAGGCCAAATCCGTTCAAAATCGATTCCCGGAGCCCTCCGGGGGCCATCCGGTGAATTTTTGTGTTCGCGGTCCCAGGGCCAGAAAAGAGCCCCCGGAGGCCGCAAAAGCCCCAAAACCATCCCAGACCCAGCGCCTCGGGCCTGCCCGCCCTTCTTGCTGGCCAGAACCAGCCAGCCTTGGGCCACCTCAGACCCGCAGACGGCTCCAACACCCGTCAGCATGTTTTCTCCATCCTCTTAAGCTCAAGCGCATGTTTGAAAATTCGCGGCCATAAGGGGCGTCGTGGGGGGGGGAGGGGGGGGGACGGGTGGGGGCATAACGTAGCGCTCCCCCCAACCCAAACTGTGGTGCCCGACGCACGGCGGCAGTGCCGGTCACGCACTGAGGGGGGGAGCGTTATGTTATGGGTAGGGGGCAGGCACAACGCGCGTTAAAGAAACGCCCCCTCGCCCTCGACACCTCGCCCCTCGCCCCTCGCGATACCGCCCCTCGTCCCCTTTGCCCTCGCCCCTGCCCCGCCCCGCTCCCCTGGCCTCTCTCCGCCGCCGCGCGCCCCTCCGCCCTCTGCCTCGCCCCCCTCTCGCCCGCCCCCCCCCCTTCGGACCCCCATCCTTCCCTCGTCTCCCCGCCGGGGTGCCCCCCAACCCTCGCCGCCCCCCCGTCGTCCTCCCCCTCCTCCTCCTCCCCCTCCTCCTCCTCCTCCTCCTCCTCCTCCTCCTCGCTCCTCCTCCTCGCTCCTCGCTCCTCCTCCTCCTCCTCCTCCTCCTCCTCCTCCTCCTCCTCTTCCTCCTCCCCGAGATTCCGAACCAGCCCGGGGGCGCCGTCCGCTGAGCGGATGGAGCTCCACTCCACGCTGCCCACGTCGCTCTCCGCCGCCCGCCCCCCGCCGGGGTACTTCTGCGCGTGCTCGTAGTCGATGAGGTACAGGGTGGCCTTCGGCTCAACGCAAGGAGTGGCCCTGGGAAGAAAGTGACATTTCAAGCCGAAACACGGACGAGGATAAAACTCGGTGAGGATAAATCTAGAATATCTGAGATCTAGCGGCTCTTCATCGATGAGGTAATGGGTTGGCCTTCGGCCGAACGCAAAGAGTGTGACCCCTGGACAAGGGTGACATGTTAGGCCGACGCCAGGACGAGGATAAAACCTCGGGTGGGGATCATAACCCAGCATCTCTGAGATCTGGCAGCTCTCTGGGGGACGTATCGGGCGCAGCGGCCTCTTCAGGGCGTCCTGGGGCGCTCCGAGGGCCTTCCGGCACGCAATGCGACGGCTCTCTACCCTCGTCCCACAGCTCCGTCCGGAGAATGCCCTCTGGGTGCGCGGCTTGCGGGCGGGGCGCGGGGGAGCCCACCAGCCGCGCGCGCGAGCTGCGGCGGCCGCCTCGCATGCATGCAGGGACGATCGGGAGACCCCGACGAGCCCGCACCAGAGGTCACTCCCGCACGGCTACCCTGCTCGTTGGATGCTGGAAATGTCCAGTCGCGACGGGCCGCTACCGATCTTGCTTCAAATGTCGGTATCGGTCGCTCGCGACCGATCGGTCGCGATCGGTGGCGACCCATCACGACCGATTTGGGGATCGGCCGCGAGCCGTCGCGACCGACTTGGAGTGTCGACCGGTCGCTACGAGAGCTCTGGGGCCCCTTGCGGAATACGAGGCTACGCCGGATCTCTGGATCCCAGGATCTTGTATGATAGTGAAGATACCTGCGCTCAAGGCTCTGGGGCGTGTTCGAAGATGGCGCAATTCGACCCCATGAGATGGCTTCGGCCATGTGACTTCGAAGCAACCCTTGACATGAGCATGCAGTAAGAATCAGGACGAAGGCATTTCACTATCTATTTCGACCTCTGGTGGGCGCTTTCGGGCGCCATGGCCGCCAAATACGCAGCTGCAGCGACTGCGGAAGTTCTGGGAAGGCACCTGTGCTTCGCGTGCCGCAGCGGCGGCCCCGGCGGCACGCATGCTCTGCAAGCTGATGGCGTGTACCTCCGCTTCGCGGGACTGGCGGCTGGAAAGGGCTCGGGACGCTGACGCTTGAAACTGGGAAGTGGTTAACGTGCAGGAGAGCCCAAAATCGATTCGTCGGATCGGCGATCGAAATGAATCGGATCGGCGGGAATCGGCAGCCGAGTCGGCAGAAATCGAATCGGCGACAATCGAAGTCGGCATTGAGAAATCGTCAGCCCAGATCGGCATCCGAAGCCGAGTCGAAGCGGAAGCCGAAGCCAAATGGGCTCGAATTCGAGCCGAAGGAACCGCAGCGGGCCCCCAGCGCGCCGCGCCGAAGAGGCAGGGGGCCAGAGCCGGGCGGAGGCGGCACAAGTGCCCGGCCGGGGCCCCCTATGATCGGGGGGTCGGCGAGAGGGCTCCGGGGGCCCGCGAGGGGAAAGCCACGACGCCCGAGACCCGGCCACCGCTCGGAGGTCCATTCCCCCCGCGCACGTATCATCGACTTCGCGCGGCAGCTTGCTCCGCAACGAGGCTCCGATCGGCGCCTCGATGGCCCTCGCGTTGAAAAAAAGATGCGCACGCCCAAGCGATGGCAAGGTGTCTGGGAGGGGGCTCTTGAGGCCTCCATGAAGCCTCTGGAGGCCAAAGAAGGACCCCCGAGACGACTGAGACCGTCAAGCGCCGAGGAGAAGGGCTCTAGGTCTACGGGCTTTAGAAAACATCCCTCGCATCCAGCGGACCGACACTTAGTCGGGCTCCTCGGGCTCATCACTCCGACCTGACTGGAGTCGGGCCTCGTCCTCCAGGCGCCTCTCGGCGCGGCAAAACTCAACCGCGTCTCGCGGGCGCCAAGGAGAGGGAGGAGGTCGAGTGTGAAGGCGCTGGCCTGAGCCTGGGAGCGGTGCCCAGGTCGCTCGTGCGATGGAGGCCTGGCAATGGCTTCAGTCGCCTTCTCTGCTCGTGCTTCGGATGCCTCACCAGTTGTCAGCAAGAGCATTTGTCGAACGCTTATATCGCCTCGGATATGCGGTGGTCGAGTGTGACCGAAAGGCGAGAGGTGACAATATATGCTGCTGGACGCAACCTGGCAATGCCTTGCCTTCAGCCGCCGGCTGCTACTATGAGCGGGCGGGCACTCGAGGCAGTTGCCTCGCACCCACCCCTCTTTCAGGCCAGACCTCTCTCTCAGAAGGCGGGCGTGAGTCCCCCTGCAACCAGAAGCGACGCGGCTCACCCAGAGAGAGTCGGACGCTAGAAGGATGCTTGCCAGGGCCCCAAAAACGTGTGGTGACACACCACGTGGTGTCCTCGGAATCCCAACGACCTCACCGCGCGGTCCGTAACCGGATGGTTCTAGGACCATGGAGGCCCCAGTCGCCCGAGACGCCCTTGGAGAACAACCCCGGTCCCGAAGCCGTGCGATGACCTCGAAGCCCCACTGACTCGACGCGCGGTGTGGTCACACCACACCCTTTGGGGGCTCCCCCAGCCAGAGTCGGCGGCGCGCACGGGGGGGGTAGGGGGAGGGGTGGAGGCTCCCTAGAGGGAGCCGGCTTCTTAGAAGGCGCCTGCCCTACATCTACAGAGAAGGCCCGCGCCCTGCAAGAAGCAGGGGTGCTTCTAGGAAGCCTCTTCCCCCCCTCCCCTTTTACCCCCCCTCTGCGCGTGGCCGACAAGGGGGGACGGGGCGAACGTGGCCGGCAAGGAGTTCCCGCGCTCGGCTTCCGGACGGGCGCCTCAGGTCGCGCCGCAGGCGGCCGCCAGGGCAGGCACCGCAGGGCATCGGGGGGGGAGAGCAGAGGAGCAACGAGCGGCAACTTCTGAGGAGCCGGAGGCCGCTTCTACCCGGCGGGGAGGGCGGGGGGGGGGGGTCGGCGGCGAGGGGGGGAAGTAAGGAGGAGAAAGCCTTCTCAGACGGCGCCGGGTCTTCTCAGAAGCCCTCCGGCCTTCTGAGGAGCTGTCTGCGCTTTCGGGGCGGGCTTGGAAAACCTTTCAGGAGGTCGGGGGACCTGCGAGCCTTCTGAGAAGGCCCGCCCCTTCGCACTTCTCCCCTCGCCCGCCGCCAAGAGGTGGCGGGCAATAACCTAGATCACCTTTTTGCATTGGGGCAGTCCCTCGCATGCCCGCGCGAACCGGTACTGCGTACCCCTTCGGCCCTGCGCAGCCGACAAGGTCAGGTTATCCAGCAGGGGGAAAGGGCCTAGGTCAGGTTATCCAGTGGGACAGCGGCGGGTGGCGCAGCTGGAAACCGAGCCGGCCGTGGTGCGGCCGCGAGATGGCTGCGCCCGCCGCTTTTGCTCGTGGGGAAGAAATAGCCAGGAGGCGGAGGGGGAGGGGGAGGAGGACGAGGAGGAAGAGGAAGAGGAATAGGAGGAAGAGGAATATGACGAGGAAGAGGAAGAGGAAGAGGAGGAGGAGGAGGAGGAGGAGGAGGAGGAGGAGGGGAGGAGGAGGAGGAGGATAAGGAGGAGGAGAAAGAGGAAAAAGAGAGGGAGGAGGAGGAGGAGGACCAAAAAAGAGCAGTCTCCTGCTGCGCGACGGATGATGTAAACGGGACTCGTTGATCGTCCATTCCGACATTGTTGCGAAGCGGCAGGGATATATGTTCTTGATCGTTCCCCCCCCAACCTGGGCGATGATATGCACAACTCAGGTTTCAGGCGTGCACCTGGGCGTTGTCGTCGTCAACGAGGTTCGTTGATTGTCCACTCCGACAGTGTTGCGAAGCGGCAGGGATATAGTTTTTGTCATCATTCCCCCAACCCAATGTGCGATTGTCTGAACAGTCATCCCCCTTACTAGGCCGGACTCAGCCCCTGCTGTAGCCGGTTTGAACGGGATCCAGCGGAAAGTGTCGGATTACGTCGGATCCGTCCAGAATGGAGCCCAGGGCATGACAGGGCCGACGCTTGACTCAAACTCCCAGGAGTTAAGACCTGGCGGGGGGAGTAGGCAGAGGAACGCTTGCCCGAGGCCTGCACTTTCTTCCAGAAATCAAGACGACAGGCGTTTTTGTCGCGATCCTTGGTCTCATGGAGCCGCTTCCTGGCACCGAGGCTGCCAAAAAACCACCCCGGACATGAAAAACGTCCTCGGGAAGCAGTCAAATATTGACCTAATCATTTCTGTATCTCAGATTGGGCTTGGGGCTGCGCCGAGACAACTCCAAGGGGTAGCCCAGGCTGACCTCAGCAGGCCGCTGCAATGGTTGTCCAATACGGTCTCAACACTTCCACTCCTGGGACTCATTTCCCGAGTCTGCAGAACTAATTGGATGCCCCTAAATATCCTGGCGAGTCTCCAGAGACCGAAACAAAGGCCAACGACTCAACAAAAACGTCCGAACTTCGTCTGCGTCCCTCCCGAATCCTCCTCCCCCACTTCGCCGATGCGATCCTCGTCGGACGCCCGGGCACCACCTGGGAGGATGCTCTGTGGCGACACCACCGCGGCCTGCAGAGGCCCAATCGAGGCCCTGAAACGCGCAACGTCTCCCGTACTGCTGCATCCTCCTGCCCCGCATCGAACCCCCGCGTGCGCGTGGGGCGGGGGTGGGGGAGGGGCCAGGAAGAGGGGGGGGGGGAGTGGGGGGGGGCCAGGAAGGGGAGGGGGTAGCGCCGCCTGGCCCGAGGCATGTGCGCGGACGAGGGGAGGCCAGAGGACGTGCGGAAGGAAGGAAGAAGAGGAGCCATATGAAATCTGGGAGATCTCACGGCCCTGGCCATGAAATCCCTCCTCCTAACTCTCAACCCCCTCTCAGACCCCCGACGTCGTGTTTTTCCCCACTATGGGTACATCAGGAAATCTCGACCAAATTTTCATCCTGAGTCGTTTTGCGACGGTCCCAGGGGCCCGGCGAGGGCCCCTGGGAGGCTGATAACACAAAATCTTTGGTGCAGGGAAGGTGTTGGTCGCCCCCATGGCGCCCGATAGCACGCAAAGCGGACAGAACGCATCTCCCTCATGTGGCAGTCAAGGGCGCTGTTGGTCGCTGCTGGGCGCTGTCCAGACTGTTCGCTATTCGACGTGGAGGCGCAAGTTCATTCGGGTGCTCTTTGGCGCGGTTGAGCGCTCTTGGGCGCTTCTGCAAGCTTTTTCGCCGGTATATCTAATCCAAGAGGAGGGGACTTCCGTGATTTGCGATCGAATCCCAGACCCCCGACGTCGTGATTTCTTCACAACGTCGACCCCTTCCCCAGGACTGGCTTTTCACCCCGAATCGTTTTTTGATCGCCCCGAGGCCCGGGAAGGGCCCCTGGAGGCCCAGAAGACCGAAAAACCTCCGGTCATGTTTTTTCCCAATGCTCCTGTGTTGGGTTCTCGTTTTGAATGGAGCACTGCTCGCGCGTCGCCTTCCTTACTTCATCCTTCCTTCCCGCCCCTCTCTTCCCCCTTGCCTTTTGCCTCGCTCGTCGCTGCGTGCCAGCTGGGGGGCTGCGATCTGTGAAACTGTCGCCACTTTCGAGGCCTGCTGGGGGGCCCAGCACAGTTGGTACACACGGCGGACTCAAATGGAGCTGCGATCTGTGAAACTGTCGCCACTTTCGAAGCCTGCTGGGGGGCCAGCGCAGTGGGTACACACGGCGGACCCAGATGGGACCTCGCCATCCCTGGGGGGCTGCGATCTGTGAAACTGTCGCCACTTTCGAGGCCTGCTGGGGGGCCCAGCACAGTGGGCACACACGGCGGACTCAAATGGGACCTCGCCATCCCTGGGGGGCTGCGATCTGTGAAACTGTCGCCACTTTCGAGGGCTGCTGGGGGGCCAGCGCAGTGGGTACACACGGCGGACTCAAATGGGACCTCGCCATCCTGGGGGGCTGTGAAACTGTCGCCACTTTCGAGGCCTGCTGGGGGGCCCAGCACAATGGGTACACACGGCGGACTCAAATGGGACCTCGCCATCCCTGGGGGGCTGCGATCTGTGAAACTGTCGCCCCTTTCGAGGCCTGCTGGGGGGCCCAGCACAGTGGGTACACACGGCGGACTCAAATGGGACCTCGCCATCCCTGGGGGGCTGCGATCTGTGAAACTGTCGCCACTTTCGAGGCTGCTGGGGGGCCCAGCACAGTGGGTACACACGGCGGACTCAAATGGGACCTCGCCATCCCTGGGGGGCTGCGATCTGTGAAACTGTCGCCACTTTCGAGGCCTGCTGGGGGGCCCAGCGCAGAGGGTACACACGGCGGACTCAAATGGGACCTCGCCATCCCTGGGGGGCTGCGATCTGTGAAACTGTCGCCACTTTCGAAGCCTGCTGGGGGGCCCAGCACAGTGGGTACACACGGCGGACTCAAATGGGACCTCGCCATCCCTGGGGGGCTGCGATCTGTGAAACTGTCGCCACTTTCGAGGCCTGCTGGGGGGCCCAGCACAGTGGGTACACACGGCGGACTCAAATTGGACCTCGCCATCCCTGGGGGGCTGCGATCTGTGAAACTGTCGCCACTTTCGAGGCCTGCTGGGGGGCCCAGCACAGTGGGTACACACGGCGGACTCAAATAGACCTCGCCATCCCTGGGGGGCTGCGATCTGTGAAACTGTCGCCACTTTCGAGGCCTGCTGGGGGGCCCAGCACAGTGGGTACACACGGCGGACTCAAATGACCTCGCCATCCCTGGGGGGCTGCGATCTGTGAAACTGTCGCCACTTTCGAGGCTGCTTGGGGGGATTTGGGACCTCGCCATCCCTGGGGGGCTGCGATCTGTGAAACTGTCGCCACTTTCGAGCCTGCTGGGGGGCCCAGCACAGTGGGTACACACGGCGGACTCAAATGGGACCTCGCCATCCCTGGGGGGCTGCGATCTGTGAAACTGTCGCCACTTTCGAGGCCTGCTGGGGGGCCCAGCACAGTGGGTATTTACCGCAGACTGAAATTAGACCTCGCAATCCCTGGAGGGTTGCGATCTGTCAAACTATCGCCACTTTCGAGGGCTGCTGAGGGGCCCAGCACACTGGGTACTCACCGCAGATTCAGACTAGACCTCGCCGTCCCTGGGGGGCTGCGATCTGTGAAACCGTCGTCACTTTCGAGGGCTGCTGAGGGGCACAGCACAGTGGGTCCTTACCGCAGACTCAGATGGGACCTCGCCATCCCTGGGGGGCTGCGATCTGTGAGACTGTCGCCACTTTCGCGGGCTGCTGATGGGGCCCAGCACAGTGAGCTTCCCGCACGTCTTTCTCCTGCTCTTCGTTTCTCCTGCTCTTCGTGCACGTCATGTCCTCTTCGAGCCTGTAATTGTCGCCCCTCGTTCTTGTACGGTTCTCCTGCGCATCATTCCATAGGCGCGTGTCCCAAGTAGCTTACATATCAAACAACGGATCCTGCAATTCGATTGTCCATGCAAGTTTCGGCCAACTCGTCGTTTCCCATGATACAAATGGGTTGGGTACGTCACAGGGTAATCACAACGCGAGGGAGTCTGGGATCTTGGATCCACCCCCCGTGGGCCTCGTCGGACCCCCGGGCGCGGCCCAGGAGGATGTTCTCTGGCGACACGTCCCGGTGCAGGAAGCCCAGCTCGTGCAGGCGCTGCAGCCGCCGGAGCGCCAGGCGGCCCACGACGCGGAGCGCGGCCCACTTGCGGTCCAGCGGGTGCCCCTGCCGTGCGCACGCAGGACGAGGGGCATCACAGTCCTGGACCCCTTCGGACTTCGAACTTCGATAGGGGAACGAACAATGAAATACACATAGAAAACCGGAGGTCCGCGCGAATTTCTCGGATCGGCGCTGGACCGCCCTGGCGGCGCTCTGCGCGCCAGGGAGGGGGTTCCAGCGCGGATCCAAGAAATCCGCGCGGACCTCCGAGCTTCTACGTAGCACCCCGCAATTGCGGATAAGAGTGAGGGGGCGGCAAGGACGTCGTCAGTATCTGAAGAAGCCCGCCGCAGGCGCCTAACATTTACGAATTATGCATGGAGCCCGCCGCAGGCGCCGATTTATTCGTTAAAGCAATGTGGGTGGATCGCGTGGTGGGTCGCGGGTGGGTCGCGGCTGGGTTGCGGGTGGGTCGCGGGCCGGGTCGCGGGTGGGTCGCGGGTGGGTCGCGTATTGGTCGCGAGTGGGTCGCGGGTAGGTCGCGGGTGGGTCGCGGGTGGGACGCGGGGTGGGTCGCGGGGTGGGTCGCGGGGTGACTGGTCGCGGGGTGGGTCGCGGGTGGGTCACGGGTGGGTCCCGGGTGGGTCGCAGGGTGGGTCGCGGGTGGGTCGCGGGCGGGTCACGGGGTGAGTCGCGGGTGGGTCGCAGGTGTGTCGCGGGCTGGGTCGCGGGTTGGTTCGCGAGGTGGG